AAAAAAAAAAAAAAGAACTTGTAAACATATGTTAACTCATTTAGTCCTTATAGCCATTTATAAGGTAGGTAATGTTATCCCTATCTAAATGAGGAAACTGAGATACACAGAGGCTAAGTAAATTGCCTACGATCACACAGCTAGTGCCAGGGGTCAGGATGCTCTCAGGATGTGAATCCATCTGGGCTATCTAGCTCCAGGATTATGCTCTAACCCTGCCCATAGCTGCCTCATGTTGGGGTCAGGGTTCATGAACAGTCTGGGCTGGCCTAAGTTAAAAGTCAGGAAGTAAAAAAAGATTAAACCCTGAGTTTTCTTCCCATCTGACTGAGAGCCTTTCAACACCTGCAAGAAAGGTAGGCATCACTGTAACCCTGTTCTCAGGAAGGCAGCAGGTCCAAAGAGGTATTGGGGTTCATCAAAGGCCCATAGTCAGCAAGCAGCAGAGGGCTCTGGCACCTCAATGCCTAGCCTTGCACACTGCCTGTAAAGCAGACATGGGGAGAAGGTATGTGAAACCCACTTGGCCCTGGCCTGGAAGAATGGCAAGGAAGCTGAAATAAAAGATGGGAACAGGGGGAGTGTGCTGTCAAGTGTGCCCTTCACAGTTCCAGGATGATGGTTCCATGCTCGGAGGATATTTGCTATATGCCAGGCCATACTCTGCGCATTTTTACATTTGCAACAACACCAGATTTTTCAGGCAAGGCACAGATAGATTACTTTCCAAGGTCACTGAAAAGTAGACCTCTAACTCCACTGCTGAAACCCAGAGAGGGATGGAGACCACTCAGGGTCCCACAGCCACAGCCCGAGCTAGGAGCTGCTGGCATCCTGCCAGCCCAGGAAAGCAATGACACCTGACTCCTGGCTAATTGGGGGTGGAGCAGAGGTGGAGCCAGGAGACCCAAGTGGCCTCTCAGAACCAGATCACAGACACTGAGTGCAGCAGCATGAAACAGAGCTGGGGACTGAGGCTGCTCATCCTGGGAGTAGTGGTCCTCATACAGGGTAAGATAGGTCCTCACAGAGGGAGGTGAGAGTGGTTTGGTGAGGGTTCAGGGGCCACCCTCTGCCCCAGCATCCCCTATAACTTGGTATGCATATGGGTGCCTGCTTGTGAGGCAACAGTCTGCCTGTGGAGATGTAACTATTTAGACCTGCCTGTGGGGAGGTGTATGTGGCCACCTGTGTCAAAATGAGTGTGATTGTCTTAGGCCAGGTTAGTTTGTGTCTGCAGGGACTATAGCTGCCTCTGTGTGTCTGTGTGTATCCAGTGCCCTGTCTCTCTACTTCCAGAATGACCTCAGGCAAATTCTGCGCCTTTCTAGCCCCAGTCTCCCTTTATATCCACCCTGGCTCACATGTTTAATGGGTATATTTGTGTGTGCCTGTGAAAGGGAAGAGGCAGGGCAGGGACCCTGTGGGAGGAGCTCTGGTGGTTTCTGGAAGGTGGGGGAATCTGAGTTGTTAAAACAGGGGTGAGGTGTCAGTTTCTTGGGGCCCTCCTCCACTTAGACATGACGCAGGCCTTTAATCCTTCCTTTTAGGCCTCCATGGCTTAAGGGACAATTAAGCTAATGCTCTGCACACACATAGGCCACCTCCCTGACTCAGCAGCGGGGGCAGGAATTGCAGATTTTGAAGCCTGGAGGAGGATTGGCCTGGTCCCAAGCTGAACCCCAGGCCCAGGAGTGCTGAGCACAGCTAAGGGAGGAGAGCTAATTACTGAGTATACACTGAATAGGTTCCAATAAAAGCTGTTTCTTGGCCTCACATAAATATTTTCATTCTGGGAAGGGCTGGTGAGGTAGCCATAGAGTCATGGTCAACGACTCAAGGCCCAGCCCACTACCCATCCCCTCCCCTAAGCCTAGGCCAGGCAGATAAGGCTCCCTCAGGTCTCACCTGTGTTTCTCTCTTCCCAGGTCTTCAAGCAGCTCAGCATGGTAAGCTCTGTGGGGACATAGGGCCTGGTCCTTGCTTGGGTCTGGGTCAGGTCTGGAGTGAGGTCAGGACAGGAGTCTGCTTTCAGCATGACCCCCTCCTTTCCACAGCTTGTGGGCAGCGTGGCCCTGGCCCCCCTGACCCTCAGGAGGGCAACACAGTACCTGGCGAGTGGCCCTGGCAGGCCAGTGTGAGGAAGCAAGGGGTCCACATCTGCAGTGGCTCCTTGGTGGCAGACATCTGGGTCCTCACTGCTGCCCACTGCTTTGAAAAGTGAGTCATGGCTGGGGTCAGGCAGGGTCTCTGGCTGCGGGGGTGGATGATTTATCTCCAAGCCCAAGATTGGCCCCTGCCCCTAGAATAATAACAAAGTACCATTTACTGAGAATTATTAAATTAATCTAAACAACCACCTTCCATGGTAGCTTTATAAATGAGAAAACAGATTGAGAGAAGGAGACCAATCTTCCACCTACCTGTGCTGTCTCCCATGGTATCACTGTTTCCCTGCACTCGGTAGTCTAGGCCTAGTCCTTCCCTTTCCAGGGTGGCAGCAACAGAACTGAACTCCTGGTCAGTTGTCCTTGGTTCTCTGCAGCGTGAGGGCCTGGCCCCAGGGGCTGAGATGGTAGGAGTGACTGCCTTGCAGCTGCCCAGGGCCTATACTCACTACAGCCAAGGCTCAGATCTGGCCCTGCTACGGCTTGCTCGCCCCACAGTCCACACACCCCTCTGCCTACCCCAAACTGTTCATCGCTTTCCCTTTGGAACCTCTTGCTGGGCCACTGGCTGGGATCAGGACACCACTGACGGTAAGTGCTATCCCAGTTTGAACCCTAGAGAGGCATTCTGCTTGCCCAAGGTCACAGAGTATCAGCTCCCAACTGTCCCAGCTCCCACTTCCTTTCTTTCCAAAGCCCAGACTCCAGCCCCAGACTGTTGTTCTCTTTTACCAGCTCCCAGGACCCTACGAAATCTACGTCTACGCCTAATCAGCCGACCCACGTGTAACTGTCTCTACAACCGCCTGCACCAACGGCTGTTAGCCAGCCCAGCCCGGCCTGGGATGCTCTGTGGGGGTGCCCAGCCTGGGGTGCAGGGGCCTTGTCAGGTCTGATGGGGAGGAAAGGGGAAGGCAGGGGTCCCAGCCTTGGGCTTGGGGCTTGACCCACAGTGATGGGTGGAAGGGCTGCTGTCAGAGGATAGTCTGCCCAAGGCTGGGGCTTAGGTGTCTGTCCTTGGTTCTGTTGACTGGCTCTAGGGAGATTCTGGGGGCCCTGTGCTGTGCCAAGAACCGGATGGACACTGGGTTCAGGCTGGCATCATCAGCTTTGCATCAAGCTGTGCCCAGGAGGACACTCCTGTGCTGCTGACTGACTTGGCTGCTCATAGCTCCTGGCTGCAGGCTCGAGCTCATGGGGCAGCCTTCCCTGCCCAGAACCCAGAGACCCCAGAGATAAGTGATGAGGACAGCTGTGTAGGTATGAACAGGGGGTGCTGGGAGTGAGACTTACAAGTGGAAGCTACAGTGAAATAAACATTAGTTCAAGATAGAGAAGTGATACAGAGCATCCACACACTGCCAGGGGCCCCTTTCAAGACCTCTTTCAGCTCCTGGGACCAGGAACAGCCCCATTAGGGCTGACAGACGTAGACACTTTGGAACTTTACAGGTTTAAAGTTTAGGTAAGAGGACTCTCTGAAACCTGACTGAAGGTTTTTGGGGAAGCGGCAAGCTTCTAGGCAGGAACCTAGCCGAGACTAGACAGGGCAGGGCTCCCAGTCAGAATTCTGGCATTAAGTGATTGACATGCAAATCTAATGCAAAGTAATGCTGGGACATAAGTTATGTCTTAATGGTAAGAGAAGCACTAATGAGCCAGGACTATTGGAACCAGTCCCAGCCTGGAGGGTACAGACGGGTGGGGCGAAGGGAGTCACAAGCAGGGCCATCCCAGGAGGCTAGGATGGGGCCCTGGCTTCTCAATCTCAAGTCTGTTCCTTGCCTGTGGTTACAGAGCTAGAAAGTCACTTACCCTCCTGGAACTTTGGTTACCTTCAGTAATGAGGGTAAAAAAAATTAAGGATATTGGGAGGAGTCAATAGAAAGTAGGAAGCACTTAGCACAGGGCCTGGCAAGCAGTGCACACTTAAGTCACATGATGTAATGCCTCTTTTTCAGCCTGTGGGTCCTTGAAGAAAGTAGGTCCTCAAGCAGGAGCCCCTTCCCCGTGGCCCTGGGATGCTAGGCTGAAGCACCAAGGGAAGCTGGCCTGTGGTGGAGCCCTAGTGTCAGAGGAGGTGGTGCTTACTGCTGCCCATTGCTTCATCGGGTAAGCCATATATCCCTTTTTGTGCCCCCTGCCCCTGCTGGCATCTCTGCCACCCTCTGTGTTGATACTCCCTCTACACAGGCGCCAGACCCCAGAGGAATGGAGTGTAGGGCTGGGGACCAGACCAGAGGAGTGGGGCCTAAAGCAACTCATCCTACATGGTGCCTATACCCACCCAGAGGGGGGCTATGATGTGGCCCTCCTGCTATTGGCCCAGCCTGTGACACTGGGCCCCAATCTCCGGCCCCTCTGCTTGCCTTATGCTGACCACCACCTGCTTGATGGGGAACGTGGCTGGATCCTAGGGCTGGCCCGTCAAGGAGCAGGTATGTAGGACCAGGGCCACTGACAGCTGTCCATCCAGCTTAAAAGCCACTGGGGCAGCTGGATCTTTTCCTTACAGGAATCAGCTCCCCCCAGACAGTACCTGTGACCCTCCTGGGACCTAGGGCCTGTAGCTGGCTACATGCAGCTTCTGGGGGTGACGGTAGTTCCATTCTGCCAGGGATGGTGTGTACCAGTGTGGTAGGCGAGCGACCCCAATGTGAGGTGAGTCCCAGTCCCCCAAACCTTACTCAACAGGTTCCTGGTAACCCCTCGTCCTGTAGTTCAAGAGGCAACCTTCTAAGGCCAGCCTGACGCCTATAATCCTAGCACTCTGGGAGGACAAGGCGGGTGGATTGCTTGAGCTCACAAGTTAGAGACCAGCCTGAGCAAGAGCGAGACCACATCTCTACTAAAACAGAAGAAAACTAGCTGGGCATTGTGGCAGGTGCCTGTAGTCCCAGCTACTCTAGAGGCTGAGGCAAGAGGATTGCTTTAGCCCAAGAGACTGAGGTTGCTATGAGCTACAATGACACCACTGGCCAGGCATAGTGGCTCACGCCTTTAATCCTAGCATTCTGGGAGACTGAAGCAGGTGGATTGCCTGAGCTCATGTGTTTTGAGACCAGCCCAAGCAAGAGCCAGACCATCTCTAAAGTAACAGCTGGGTGTTGTGGTAGGCGCCTGTAGTTCCAGCTACTTGGAGGCTGAGACAAGAGATTCGCTTGAGTCCACAAGTTTGAGGTTGCTGTGAGCTATGACACCATAGCACTCTACCCAGCATGAGAAAGTGAGACTCTTTCTCTCTCACACACACACAAGAGACCTTCTAGGCCAGGTGCAATAATCTCAGTGACTTGGGGAGGCAGGAAGATCACTTGAGTCCAGGGGTATGAGACTAGCCTGAGCAACATAGCAGGAACCCATCTCTAGGAAAAAAATTTTTAAGTTAACTGGGCATAGTAGCACATACCTGTAGCCCTTGCTACACAGGAAACTGAGGCAGAAGGATCACTTAAGTTGGCAAGTTCAAAATGGCAGTGAACTGTGATCATGTTGCTATACTCCAGCCTAGGCAACAGAGCAAGACCCCATCTCTAAAAGAACAAAAACAAAACCAAGAAGAAACAGAGACCTTCTGCCAGGGTTGGCCTGTAGCCCTGCCTCCCACCTGAAACTAGGCCTTTTTGCTAAAAAGCCCCCCAAATAGCCAGAGCTTCAGCCCCCGGCCCCCACAGCTGCCTGAAAGAAAGTGGAAGTCACCTAGTGTTACGTGACCCTGACAGGGCCTATCCGGGGCACCACTGGTGAATGAGGTGAGAGGCACATGGTTCCTGGCTGGGCTACATAGCTTTGGAGATGCCTGTCAAGGCCCTGCAAGGCCTGCGGTCTTCACAGCACTCCCAGCCTATGAAGACTGGATCAGCAGTTTGGACTGGCAGGTCTACTTCACTGAGGAGCCAGAGCCTGAAGCTGAGACTGGAAGCTGTCTGGCTAACATGAGTATGTGGCCCTGGCACCTCCCTGCCAAACCCTTCCTCTCTAGGCCCCTTCTCTTATCTAGGGAAATCGCTGTTCTGGCCCACTTCTAGCTGTCCTGCAAGGGGTGGGGCAGTAGATAGACCCATGTAATTCAAATCCTGGTGACTCGGAGCATCTCACCCCTTTGAGCCTCAGTACTTTCTCTCATCTGTCATGGGGGCAAAGACAGATCCTGCTCCTTCAAGGAAGTGTGAGCAAAGTTGAAGGTAAGGCCAACCCCACATCCCTTCTCTTTCTCTGACAGGCCAACCAGCCAGCTGCTGACAGACACATCCAGACAATCCCTGCCTCATTGGCCCCATCCCTCCTCATTTCCATGTGTGGCTCCAGGACAGGGGCAGGCCCCAAAGCCCAGGTGGTTATGGGAAGAAACCTGCCCAGGACCAGCCAATGCCCCCATTCCCCACCCTGCAGGACAGGGATGTCACCTGTGATGCTCTCATACCAACCCTGCTCTTCAACAGGTGTCCCCAGCTTTCTCTACCCTTCCTCCACTCAGATACAATCACTCCAGGCACATGTTTCAAAAATTTTTTTTCGGGGGGGGAGGAGCAATTTTCCTTTTTTTAAACTTAAATAAATTGTTACAAAATAGACTTTAAAAAATAAGTTACAAATCGTAGCAAAAGTCTCCCCTTCCACAGGCAACATTCCCACCCACGGCACTCTGAATCTGCCTCTCCCCGGTGTTGGAATCTGGCTGGTAAGGGTGGCTCAGCATCTTGGCAGAGGCTGGCACCAGGAAAAGCACGGTGACAAAGGCTAGGGGAAAAAGGTCTTTCAAGGGCAGGGATGGGAGGATGCCCCACCCCTTTGTAAGGAAGAAGCCAGAGTTGGATCCTCTGTAGGAGGAGAGAAGAAAAGAGATAGGGATGTCCAAACTACTCCTGAGCAAAACATGGAGATCAAGCCCCTCCCTGCCTGTACTCCCCCCCTCCCCCTACAATATTCTGATCTTTGGAGACTTGAAGTTCAGGTCGAGAAGCTGAGGTCTGCAGGCCACTGGGGTGAAGGGTCCAGGAGAGGGGTCGTGGGAGTGGGTGGAGGGGGCAATGACAAGTCCTCTTTGCCCACTGCTGGTGCCACTGGGGCTCCTGAGGAGAGAAAGAGGTCACTGAGGGGGCAAACCCTACACAGCTTATAACCCCCACCCCCAGCCCTATGGGCCATTCTCTTGCCATGGCCCCAGAGAACCCAAGAATCCTAGGACTCCCAGTTATTTTACCAGCCATGGAGAGCTATCTGGCTATTTACTCCTTTCCCTCAAGGTCTTAAGAAATCTTTTATCCTGAAAGCCATCCCTTCAGCCCTCAAGGGACTCTAACGCACCATTTTCTCCTTCCCTGACAAGTACTGGTCAAGGGCCCATGTCTCAGCCCTTGGTGACTGCTAAATGGAATGGGTCCTCCTCTCTAGAGAGGTGAAGAGAGAACAAATCCAGGGCTTGCTGAAAGAACAAGCTGTCCCAATCCTTCGCAGCCTCATCCTCCAACAGGGCTGGGTGGAGGCAATGTTGCATGGAGATACTTTTGATAAAGGATGTGAGATGGGGCTTATGATTGCTGTTGCTACAGCTGGGCCTGGGCTTCAAAGAAACAATTATCTGTGACTCAGTCCTCTAGTTAAAGGTGTGCAGCGGGGGTGAAGGGTGGAAAGGGTGGTTTAGTTGTATCATTAAAAAAAAAAAAATACAGAGCTCGGCGCCTGTACCTCAAGTGGCTAAGGCGCCAGCCACATACACCAGAGATG